CCCTTTATTATAATTTGTTAATTTGTGTTATCATTATTATTTTATTTATTATCTAAATAAATAGAGGATATTCAAGATTTTTCTATAAATACATGATTTATTTTCATCGAGTGGTATGAAAAAATAAATATTTTTCATGAGTGGCGGTAGCCACGAGTGAAATAATGTAATTTTCATGCTACAAGATGAAAATAAATCATGTATTTATAGAAAAAACTTGAATTTTCTGTTAATTATATGAATTTTTCTCTTTTTGACATTAAAATTTGAAAGACTTTCCCTTAAATTTTTGTGTACTGGCAGAATTTAAAAGAAAGTAGTCCGGTAAGACACCAGTGAAAATAAGGAAAATATGTTTCACTGCTGTGAAAAATAGATTTTTATAGTTAAAATACGGAAAATGAAAAATACGCATTTTATTACATCAATATTTTTCAATATTTCATTTATAAGTACATGTATATAATAAATTTTATATATTTGCGCTAGTTTTTTTTCCTAAAAAGGTGATAATTATGTAAATAATGATTACACTTTAGGTAAATGGATAAGTATTTTGTATAAACAGATAGCTGATTGACAATAATATGTTATTACTAGCTTGAAAAATATAATATTAATATCAGTTTTTTGATAGCTTTTAAATATTTTTTTCTTATATTTGTTTTATTACTACATATTCTCACTGTAACAATATGATGCATGATGGAAAATGTTAAATAAAGTAACGAATTGTCACAAAAATAAAACAAATGCTTGCCTTATATTATTACCCTCCCATTTTGTCATTGATCATACCATCTTTATTAAAACGGGGATAAACCATATATCATAAAATTTTTCATCTACATAAATAACAATTACAGGCAAAGAACATACTAACGCATGAGGAATGCAATGAAAAAGGCATCATGTATTGAACAGAATTATACCATATGCGAACACCCATACTGATTTCGGAGAATGAACTGCATAAATGACAGTATTACTTACCTATTTCAAAAAGTATAAGAAATATAACATACATGTATTCTTCTATGTATACGTATATGTGTTCATCAAATAACTCCGAACAACGATTTCCAACATTATCCTTAGAAATTAAACCCATATGAAAAGATAGAGGAATATCATCCGCATAACGGACAGGTACAATGCGTTTGAGGTTTAAAAGATAGGGGAATTATTCCCCTAACTCTATCTCTCGTTTCTGCATGTAAATGTGTTGCTGAAAAAGTGCAAAGAGGTAGACCCCCGGAAAAAGGACATCTGGAATTTCCTTTTTTATTCTGGAACGCATTTTAAGTAATTTGATAGTATATATTAAAGTTAATTGGATTGTATATATTAAATTTAATTCGATATTTTCTTTATAAAGTAAAATAATAATAGGACAATAAAGTATTAAAACTGAATAGAATAACATTGTATGTCCAAAAAAGAAAAATAAATAAAGAAATTTTTAAAGAAATGAATCTCAATGATTTTGCAATTTTCAAAATTATCTCGATTACGGTATAACCGAGAAGCAAAGTCTTAATCTTAAAATGGCAATAAAATAGAACAACTAACCTCTTAGTCAAGTTATTTTTTAAACATTATTAAATATGTTCAAACAATCTCTTTACCATTGCTAACCATAGTAAAGTAACTATAACTCTCAATTCAGTAAACAAATCAAAAAAGTAACAATATAAGTATTTTCCCGTAAAATGCTAAGTGCACTATTTTTCACAGACAACATGATTTAAAAAAAACAGCTTACTTATATCAGCTAACTGAATGAAAGACAGAAAACTGTCCCTGCTATGAACCATGCATGTTAAACTGAACTGAAATTGAAAATTTGATACAATGTGTGGATATACTCCATTCTCAGTTTTTAGAATATGATTTCTGGGTTTCCCCTTTTTCTAATTTATTGTGCTATATTTTCCTACTTCAGAACGCCACAGGTTGTTTTGAAAATTCCAAAAAGGATGACAGTAAATATGAAAATACCAATGTTATTTACCGAGTTAAAGTAACTCCTGATTCTGGTCTGAGCATTGTGTCTCATCACCTCTTGTTTTGTTTTATACTTCTTGTTTAAACCTGAAAGTTTAAAGTATTTTGTTAACTAAAATTTCCAACTATAAGAATATTGAGTAACTTTTTGTTTTGATTAATTTAATTAGAGAAGAGATACAACATTTTTTCATTCATAAGAAAACTAAAGCATCTGAAAGAACTTTTTTTGTTTGGTGCTGTTTTATGTTGTATCAACACAGTAGAGGTCATATGGCAACTTCCTAGCTTTATTAGTGGAGGAAGACCCAAGGTACATCTGCATCTCTGTGTATTATTTCAAACCGAAGAGGGCATCTGAGTGAAACCACCAATGTTTCGTAAGCTAGTTGGATAGCTTCCTCAATGAATGCTCCCAAGTCCCTGGCGGGACTCAAAACTCACTGCATTGAGATTCAAGTTGTTGAAAGTCAATGATCTTAACCACTTTGTTGTTTATGCCCATGACAAACAGAGTAAAGATATAAAACTGAATATATCTTTACACAGTTCATTTAGAAGAATGGAGTGGCTATTCATAGGATGGAGAAACTTTGTACTGTGACTAACATCCCGAAAATAATATAACTTAAACACTCAATTGGAATAAGTTGCCCAATTTAAACATTTTCATGATGACTATAATAAACATTAAATATGTCATGCATGTAAGAAACATCAATTTCTACCTTCAAACCAATCTTCATTCTCGTATCTATATTCAGAGTCCGGATCGGTCTCTAACAACTCCAGGTACTGTGATATGATATGAACTTTCTCCGGCGAACCTTCGTCAGTCAGCATGTCTCGTATCTGATCAGCTATCTGGTTCTTCTTAGTTACATTATACAGTTTACTTAACGCATCGTGAATCAAGGCTCCGGCTGAAATGGGTTAAATGCATGCCTTAGAATGATTAGCTCAATTAAATACTTTATTTCCTGCCATTATCAACATAGTGATATATTCATGACCATGATCATGTCAACATGCTATTATCTCTTATTAATATTTCACACAGCAGATAAATACCAGCCATTTTATTTTACAGAAAAGACACAACTAGTGTCATTAACTTCTTCACAGGTAAATAACCCCACCTGAGCAAAAAATTGTTTTTATCGTAAAAATACATTAACATAAGAATTATTATAATGCATCATTGTTTGGTGCTTTCACAGGTTTATCTTTTGTTGTACTAAAACAAAACTTAGCATGTGCCCGAAATCTGCAGGAGCCACATTATTGTTACCAGAACCACATGACACACTTGAGACATTACATTAACCTTTTTAGCTTACCTTACTGTTAAATGTTAGTGTATGCCTTACTAAATTTGAACACCATATTCCATATATTTAAGCAATAGCATAAGTGGTGTAAGATAACTTCAATCATACCCTACTTGTAACAGGTTTTGTTCATGCACAAATCATTTTGTTCATGATTTGTTCTGTCTTTTTCTTGTAAAAATTTGTCTGTACTACATGTTTAATACAGATATATTAGTCTTGTATTGTCTTTCAAAGCTGTTCTAAAGATATACATATTTTTACCTCCACCCCACTTCTCTCCTTTCTTCAAAAACACAAGCACAGTTTGAGCTGGTAACTTCTTAAAGAATGCATCACTATCTATCAATGTGCCGTCATCTTCTAGTACCACTGTCACTTCCTCTTCATCTATCTGCAATTTAACAGATGAATTCTATAAAAGCTTTTTTAATGACTTGTTTAAAATATCTGAATTTGTAAACTTATAACTGCCATTGACCAATGAGTCACAGTGGTAAGACCATGCCCCCCTCACCCCAACAACATCATGTCAATGCAAGTATCTTCAAAAGTTGTGGTTCTGAAAACTTTTGCTTAAAAATTAAGGAGCGCCGGGCGAAGTTTAATAAATAAAACTTCACCGCGCCCCGCTAATCAGCGTGTATTTGTCCCCCGACCCTGCCAAGCGAAGTCGATAATTAACAAGTTAAAATATAAGGGACGCGGAGCACAAACATGTTAATTAGCTGGGGTGCTAATTAGCGTGTTTTCGCTCCGAGCCTCCGCCATTTTATTTCTTACATCTCGTCCCTCGCCCCAATGGGGCAAAGTTTTTTTTCAATAAACTTCGCCCTGCGCCCTCACTAATTAGCGTGTTTTCGTCCCGCAACCCTTTTCGTTTTGCGGGGTCGCAGGTCATAAACACAAATTATGGCACAAATCAGCCAACATATTTTAAGCTGATATTTGAAATTTACTAGAAATTCTACTAGTTTAATACTTAATGTCTGTATATTATCAGATAAAAAAATCTTTAAAATAAAGGATGGTCCATAAAATAAAAATAAAAATAAAAATTACACTCTCATAATTTTCTACAAGAGCTTCTTACCTCGAGCTTCTCACATCCCTTTTTTAAAAGTTCCCTAAAAGTCTTTGCTGTCACACCAACCCTTCTCTCCCTTCGAACATCTTGCACTTTGTATGCACGCATTCCCAAATTAAATAATGACAGAAACTTGCTTAGCATTCTACGGGTAATGTGTTCCTAAAGATTTCTATTTTGTAAACAAAGCACTAAATTTCCCGCGAAAATTTTCGATAAATTCCGAAGGTATTCGCATAGATTTTCATTTTCAATAGCCTAATTTTAGAACAAATAACTTACAAATTAGCAATCCCGAACACCTTTTTATGGGCCCCTTTTTGAAGACAGTATTAAAAACATAAAAACGACTTTAATTTAGGCCGTGATATAAATAGGAAAGTATGTGCTCAGGTATGACTTGCCTGCTTAGTGTAATCGATTACGATTAATATTTCGGCAAACATGCGTTTCTTATTTCTCTATAAAAAGGGCAGACTAGTAAAAAATGATATTCGTTTTCAATACTACTCATATTACATTTTGTACATATTCTAAGTCTTCTGTCAATATTTCTATGCCTTCTCTCTTCAATAAGTAGATTGTGAGCGGAACATCTTAGCCTAGAAAATGCAATTCTGTGATTTGTATTAGTGATACTTGAAAAATAATTCTCTGTACAAAAATCTGTTTTTATTAAACAATATGTTTCTAGTTTTGGTGAGTTACGAAGTTCAGAATAAAACTGTTGAATATACTGACCATAGATTGATCTAATAACACATTGAATCTGTAAATTTGTTACAAATGAATTATTACATAGGTAGGAAAAACCTGTTTCATCTAGAATTAATGTTCTTAACATTTTTAGACCATTTATTTACTGGATTACCATTGAAATCATGCTTCATAAATACTTTATACATAAGAGAATCTGTGTTTGACATTATCTTAAACCAATATTTAATCATTCTTATCTTACGCATAAAATATAGTGGAAGTCCTCCAAATTCACCATATAATGTAACATTTGATGTTTGTGTTCGTACTTGTAAAGTTTGTTTTAAAAATTTCATGTGAACCTTTTCAATATCTGGTGCCTTATGAAAATCCCACACTTCACAACCATAATTCAAAATAGAGCAAACCATCGAATCAAAGAGTTTAATCTTTTCAGAAATATTAAAAGATACAACATCGAATAATGAATTAAGAGAATACAATGCTCTTTGTGCTTGTTGTGATAATGATTTCTGAGCTTGATAAAAACATCCGTTAGAAGATAACGTTACACCTAAATATGTAAAAGTACGTACAATATTGAGCTTACAATTGTTATAAAATACTTCAAAATGTTCTGGATAATTTCCCTTTTTAAAAACCATAGCAACTGTTTTATCAATGTTAACTGTTATACCCCATTTGTTACAATACACAAGTACATGTAAATTATTTAACAATCGTTGAAGCCCTTCAGAAGAATATGACATTAACACAGTGTCGTCCGCAAAAAGTAATAAGAAAACTTTCAGTTCCTCTAAACAAAACGAATCTATTGTGTCATCAAGAATACATTGATACATATCATTTATGAAAAACAGAAATAATAAAGGCGATAAAAGGCTCGCCTTGTTTAACACCTTTTACACTATTCAAAACTTTCAGAACACATACCATTAACACGTACACAACTTTTCACATTTTCATACATTTTTTGCAACATTTTAACAAATTTTTGTCGAAGCACCTGATTCTAATAACTTTAACCATAAACCATTTCTATATACAACATCGAAAGCTTTCTTAAATCAACAAAAGCACAGTATAACTTTCCTTTTTTCGAGGGAGATAACTCTATCTATAATCGAAGTTAGAACAAAAATGCAATCAATTGTGCTTTTTGTTTTTTCTAAAACCATATTGAAAATCAGATAATAATTCATTGATTCTGCCCATGAGCGAAGCCTTGTATCTAGCAAAACTGAAAATATTTTTGAGAAAATACTAGTGAGAGTAATACCTCTATAAATTGTTAACATCGTTTTGGTCACCTTTTTTTGGAACAGGGACAATCACGCCCTTTGCCCAACTAACTGGATATATAAAATTTACATACATATGATTAAAAAGTTTACATAATAATGGGGCTAACAAATCTTTACTGTCAATAAACATTTCAGGAATTAAACAATCAATACCCCCGCTTTTTCCTCGCTTTAATGTCGACATTGCTTTAAGAACCTCTTCTGTAGTAAATGATTTATCGAGCAGCTCTATATTAGTTACGTTGCTATAATTAGACAAAATATTCTCAACATCATCATTCGAAAAATCTAAATCATCCGAAAAAATGTCTTTAAAATGATTAAAAAATTTTCCGAACTTATATTATTGTTTTTTGACTTTTTAGCTTTTAAATTATTTACTTCTTTCCAAAACTGCTGTGGTTGTGTGGAAGCTAATTTATGCAAATAACTTTTCTGATTTGCCTTAAATTTCGTTTTAGCCTTACGTTTGGTGTAACGGTAAATGCGTCTTTTTTCAAGAAGAATGTTACTGTTATTAGTAGATCTATTGCTTTTGTATAACTTCGTGGCTGAACGAAATTCACGTCTAGCCGTCTCGCATTCTTGCGTAAACCACGGGCTTTTAAATTTGCGTTTACGATTAGAATTTGACACATTTACTGACCTACCGAAAACGCTGATAAACATAAAAAAGTAACAATTGTAATTATAAATTAAAATGTTATAATTTAATAAAAAGATGAGTGTTGCATATTTTTTTGTCAAAATCGGCATGAAATATCGTCAATCATTTATAAATTCACTACAATTTCATTGACAATTACACAACAGAGAAATTATATACATCAAAATTATGCACAAAAAGCAATTATAAATAATGAAATACATAAAATATATACATATAATATAACATAATACATTATTTTATCATTTTCAAAATAAAAAAAAAATCGCAATGTGACGTGATATTGATAATGTATTATTCAAAATAAGGAAATATTTATGCAATACAACTACAAAAAACAAACAAAAAAACACACAAAAAAAAACAAACAAGAGCATCAAAATCATACACATTTCAAATTCTACAAAATTTTAGTTTCATTTATAACATTTTATGCTCACATAAAATAATTAATGTCATTCCCCGTAATTAATACACTTTTACATTTATATCTTTGATTAAATCTTATAATAACTAACAACAAAAAAAAACATAATTAAAAAAAAAAAAAAACAATTAATTTGAAACGAAATACATTATATACGAAAAAAAAAATCTTATATCAACACAATTTTCATCTAGAAAGATCGATAATTTTTAGAAGACCGGCACTGACAGGGCTAATAAATATGATACTATTCGCCGGTCTCTCGAAAATTCCGGTCAAAATAGACCGGGAGAGACCGGAGACCGGAAGCGACCGGACCGGAGAATAGTACATCCCCGATTTTGAAGCAGTACAATGTAGATGAGATGACGATTAAGATTAAGTGCCTCCCAGTCATAGTCAGAATTGATTGTTCGGGAGTAACATGTAGATGAAGTTTAAGATTGGAAGATGAGGATAAGCATGTGTAAATTTTTAACTTACCTGAAAATTCTATCTAAATCAATTGGTTAGTCAAGGCAGATAATACATATGTCTATAAATATCCATGTGGAACAAAAATTATAATTATAACTAAAATAAATTAGCTAATCTTGGAAAAATAATGTATTTTAATTGTTCCCTAATTGAATCATGGTAAAATTATTTTGTTATAGCTCGGTTACTAATACCGAGGGCTCAACGCGAAACTAGTCTATGTGCATTTTTTAAAAAATGTTCAGGAGAAGGAAAAAACTTTCTCAATTGTTACATTTTCAGAATTGTTCAATGTAATATAGATATTGTGTGTATTTAAGAGAACTTAAACCATACTTATTTCAGTTTTAAAAATCTGTTCATTAAAACAGTTGTTTTAGCAAGAAATGTCACATAGAATAGTTCGCTCCAGAATATTGTGATATATGGCTTTAAAATTGAATGCGAAACTATTCTATGTAATTTTATAAAAAAAGCACAACAATGCTCCATGGTATGTTATAATAACAATATATGATAGAAAAACAGGTTTTTAATGATCTTATGAAAACTTCACATAGACTAGTTTCGCTCTGAATTTTGTGAAAAAACTGACAAGAATTTTTGTGCGAAACTAGTCTAAGTGATTTTTAGGATATGAATGTATGGCAATTAAATGTTATATATTTCCCTTTTTTTCTATTTTTATAAAGTTATATCAATTAAAACATACAGAGCTTTCAAAATGTTTATGTTTTATCAATTTTTTAGGTAATGAATTTAACTAAAATGCATTGTTATGATCTTTCATTAAGAGATACAGTTGGTGTAGAAATGTAGGGGTGAAATTCAGTTCAGACTTAAAAAGAATTATTTTAATTTTTGATTAATGCTAGTTACACTCATAGGGTTTAAACAATATGAACATTTCTTATATTTTATATATTAATTACTGTATCATAGAAATCAGTATTAATTACATGACTTATTTTCACGGACTGCTGTTAATAAATACTTAATAGGTTAAAATATGACAAATGTTATTCTTAATTCTAAAGTTTGACAATTCTTTTTATTTACATTATACTCAATCATGAAGCCAAATGTAAGTCATCTTCAATTATTTTTGAAAATACAAAGGTAATTTAGTAAAGGGAAATCCCTTCTTCCCTCACTCCTCTCCCTGGCAGCAATGATTGCCATCTTTAAATGACAAAGTACACAGAAGCCTGTTTACCAGTCATTGATGAATCTGTGCATCATAATATGTCACTCAGCTCGTTTTTAATGGAGAAAGAAATTATAAATGGCAAAATGTATTTCATCTTACAATGTATTCATATGACTGACAAGTATTGCAATACACAAACAATTTGTTGCAGAAAAAAGAAAGAAAAAAAAAGAACATAATTAATACATGTTTTTTTTTAAGTGGCAATTACATGACATTATTTCGCTACTTAAATATTGTAATAAACTCAGCAACAAGTGTTGACGCTCATCTGCAATGGGCAATGACTATCGAACACATCTAGTTTAGTGGATCCCGAAAGATAAACACAGAAAGGCACCTTAATAGCAAAGTAATGGAAACAAAAATGCATACTTGATTATTTCTTGGTCAACTAGATTCTATCCAATGAGGGAACATAACTAAGTTGAAAAGGGGCATAACTCCTAAAAAGTTTGCA